TCTTGGTGGGTGATCATATAGATAGTTGCACGACTTGTAGTTATTTAGTTATTTTCCAGGATTGTTGTCATGAAGGAAGGTGAAATTTTGACAGAAATCCAATTTCCCTTCCTATTATTTCCACCCTGTTTGGTATGAATAGCAATTTATTGATTCCTAAAGCAAATTTCGGACCAACGATCTTTGAAATTCGATAATATAGATATCAATTGATTCACCCTCAGGAAATACAAAAGGTTCTTGAGTAATTTGTGAAAAACATTTTTTTTTTCGAAAACTAGGCAAATTATTACAGAAAAGAAAATGTAACCCGTAAAATCATTCAAATGATTTGATAACCTGAACATTCTTGCTCACAATAACTTTTTAGACCACATTCCATAGAGAAGCTCTGGAACCAATTTAACAATTTTTCAAGTTTCATTGGTCCAAAAAGGAGGGACTGCGGATGTAAAATATACATATTTCGGTCGAAATACCTTGAATAAACTCACCTTTATCATTCCATCAATCCTGGTAATAACTGAGGCACTCAGATATACGACAGCAAAGGGACACAAGATTTTTTTATTCGTATAAAAATGTTTTGATTCAATAGTTATTTAATTCAGATGCAGATTTTTAATAATGAATTCCAGATAACAAGTATTCGAAACTGTCGTGTCGTGTAGATTGTCGTCCTGTACGTACCTGTATGTTTGCATCTCCAGCCAACTGGGAATGATTGAACATGCTGTCTTTGGGACGCAAGATGTCTGACAAATGCTCATAGAGGGGAAAAATCAGCAAAATATCGTATAATGATAGTAGTAGTAGTAGTAGTATTATTGTGGGGAGGCTGTAGCCAGGCAAGTAGGCACCCATGGGCCCTTTTTGCCAACCCCTGCTCTCCACATATCTACACATCCCTCTTTTAGTTGTTCTCTTCGAACCTTCCCGTCCTTCTGATGAAGGTCAGGATATCCAAAGATTTCAAATCTCATTCTTCCATATACGCCTCACACTCTCCAAGGAAGTGAAGTGATGTCTCCTCATCTTCTCCGCATTCACGGCAAGTGGAACTATCTTCCACACCTATGAGTGATAAGTGTCTGCGTAACCTGTTGTGCCCTGTCAGTACCCCTATAAGAAGGCGCAGGACTTGGTGATCCTTGCCCAGTAACCAAGCCGTCTTTGGCTTTCGTATAATGATAAGTAGGCGCTTAATAACCCCAAGTAAGTTCTTCAAATATTATTTTCGTGGCAGGCTGACAGTTCTATCATTGGTAGTGAGTACTGTTCTATGCGATTTACCTCGATGTCACAGGCATATAACTCACTTGTAATTAAACTAAACAATTGAAAAAAAAACATGCTGTCGCAGAGTGGCTACCAGATAGCAACAGCAGTATTCCTTCTTGTGGCGGAAAATTACCTTTCAGCAAAGTCGTTATTGCTATCATAGGATTTCAATGTTCTGCTTCTATTCGAAAATGTGTAATGGTAATAGGATTTATTGTAATAGTAGCAAGAATTATCTCAGCAAGAACTCTAATATATAGCACAATTTTCCTCAGTGTACTACTACTCCATTTCAGTTGCAGGAGGAGGAAAATCAAATCTAAATACTTTCCAATCGGTTATCCCATGAGAAAATTCTTTGGTGGCAGGTTGTCCATCTCGCAGGACAAGGATAATTGAAAAAGTTGGCTCCCGATTTCCATAATTTGGACCGGAAACCTTTCTGCTGTATATGCCAATCGATTTCCAGAGTTGGGAATCTTGAATCACGTATACCCTCTCTGGCCTCGCTATCGGGAAACTCTTTCAGCACCTCGGAAGCCTTGGAGGCAAACTCCCCCCATAACTCCCTAGTCCTTCTCAATCCAGGACCGGCTCGAACCACCCTCCTGATCTCCGTAATCAGTCGAGTTTGACTCGGATCCGATTGGAGACTGAAACTACCTGATTTCAAATATCGTGTCGTCATTGTTCTTTATCTCTTAGAGCGCACGGACGGAAATTCCTATAATTTTCGAAGAACATCGTGCGTACTTAGGGAGTATAGGGAGAGGTAGGTGTTGGGATTTTTGTTGAACTTTCGGAGATTATAAGTCCTTGGGATGACTTCTATATATATAGACGAACGAGTTTTGTTAAAGTGTTGTTCGACATATTTCAAGGTTGACAACGGAAGGATGTGTTAGAATCCTGCTGGAGAGCAGGTAGTCGGCCATTTGGGCTCGTTTGGTTATCATCAGGGAGCCCTGGAAGATTCATTCGTTTATTCTAGTTGAATACAGTTCGTTCCGGATTGATATTTCGCTCGGAATTGTAGTAGATTATAACAGTCTCTCACGTTTATTTTTTCTATTTGTTTTCTACTTTTTTGTTCATTTTTACTATTCGTTTCTGTTTTTTATTAACTCAAATCTTATAAGTACCTATGTAACTCAAATTGAGAATTAGGAATATGATTATTTCAATATGAGAATGTTCGATTTGTTGGATAGTAGATAAGACAATTTCATTACCATTATACCATTCCTTAGAATTCGTATAACATAAAATAGATCTAAATTTTTGACAAGGTATTAACTGATGAAATAAAAATCGAATTGACAACAACTGTCATTTGCTGTTGTCAAATTAATTATTCACGAATTCCGATGGATTTCACGTGTGAATAGGACCGCGTGATGTGGATATATAAATGTTTGAGGTCGAAGAAAAAATTTAACATGCACCTCGGCGAAAAACTGTCTATTTATTTTTTTTTGTATTTCCAATCGTTTTTACCAAATTGCTCTTCTCCTGAGGTATGTAGGACTATGTACATACATACAGTCATTCTTTTCATCCATCTAAAAGTGGAGAGACGATAGCTTCGAAAATTAGTTTTTTTGAGGTACATACATACCTACCGGAACCCAAGCGCCACTGAGCTATGATTTTTTGAATTTTCGTTGGGTTAGCTCTCTATACGTTGGGTTAGTTCTCTACGTTGGGTTAGCTCTCTACGATGGGTCAGCTCTCTACGTTGGGTCAGCTGACAGCTCCCTACGTTGGGTATGATCAATTTTGATATAAGTATTACTTTTACCACTCGAATATCTCTTGCAGAAAATTTAGTATAATTATTGGAATCATTCTAATAGATCATTATCCTAGACAGTATAGAAGCATAATAGATCACTAAGTCTATAGTTCAAATTTGGTATAAGATGAGAGAAAACTCCACCCTCAAACTATTCCATCACATGAATTACAAAGACGGTAAATTATTGGGAAATTGCCAGATATTGCATTTTTAATGTTAACTGTTCTCAGATTCTCTCAGGCTATATACGGCACTGTTCGTCATACCTAATTCTATTGATCCTTGGAATTAACTTCTGCCTTGACTTCCTAAACCTCGCAAAGATATATGATCAAAATAAACTTTCTGTATTTTATAATTCTCCGTGGGTTCAATCGATCGGAGAAGATCGATTGGACGGAGGAATCCAATCGTGTAGTGATGAAGTTATGGCCAAATCGAAATTGAAAAAAAAATTAAGTAGGTGCCTACCTATAGGAATGCGATAAGATTAAAAAACAAAAAAACATGTACGGATTATTGGAGTTGGTCGCTTGTTAATCCTGATGGAATTGTGTTTTAGCTAAAGAAACGTAGCCAGGGCCGGATTATCCATACGGCGATCGGAGGTTTAGGCAACTGCCTAGGGGCCCCGTATCGACTATGGAGGCCCCGTGCACGCAACAAGAAAAACAAAACGTTTCATTGAACGAATTTTGAAAATTTGTTTATATGCTTCCTTAATATTATTTCTTTCATGTTGTCAGTTGATGGAATACTTCATATACATAGTATATATCAGGATATCAAAGGAGTTGATCTGATCGACTCGACTTTTGTAATAGAAAAGATGTATTTCAAGAAGTTAGAAAAGGGTCAATAAAAAGGGACCCTGAGAATTGCATTGTCTATGGGCCCTAATAGGGTTAGTCCGGCCCTGAACGTAGCATGCCTGTGTCAATCTCTTATCACTATTGTGATGAGCGATGATCTCTATCGAGAAAGCATCAGTATTGTACCTCCTAGATTGACATTTTTGTCCATAATTGTGTACCTATCACTATTAAGTATATATAGTCCATCAAGATGAGAACGAAAATAAACTCATTTGTAATATCGCGGAGTAGATATTATACTTAATTAGATGGAACAATATTTCTTCGATCAAATTGGTGTGTGCATATATTTTTGCAATTTGCGATTATACAAGTATGATCTCATAATGTACTTATACTTATATACATATAGGTAATGGTAATAGAATGAATAACTAGACCGATTGGTACCTATTTCGTATCTCTCAGTCAGTTTTTTCTAGAAAGGAAACTAAGTATTCTAAACGTTCAATTCTTCATTGTAATTTCAGTTATTCGCGGACTATACCGAAATGGATTTTCCTTTTAAAGCGAAACATAATTTTCCATTAAATGGGCGGTTTCCTGTAAATATTGCAGGCTAATGGTGTAATTAGCTCGCTGTATGCATTTAGAGCGTTTAATGCATCTTCCTGAAATATTCATATTTATTTCTGGTTTCTGATGTAATCCCTTTCAATTTATTCGCACTCGTTTTACTAGCGATGTCAGCTCTTTCTTTGTACCTACATTGAAAGAATTTCTACTATATCATGATCATGAAGTTTCGTTATACCAATTTACAAATGGCTTTGATTTATGTTTCAAAATTTGAATTTCTTGCATTTAGTAATTTCTTCATATGCAAAAGGGAAGCGAACAGAACCCCAAGTTTATGAAATATGATTTTCCATCAGTGCATTCGGTGCATTGTAAGAGTTTGACATCTGTGTGCCGTAGCCGTAACTACCAATCGGGATTACAGTATTCTGCCTTGCTGCTGAATACTACAGAGAACTGAACTGATATACCTATACCCACATTAATAATACAGAATACTTTTCTATCGTATTTATAAGTCGGTGTTATTCGGGTATCGGGTGGAGTATTGTGTGTTGCAATAACAATAATAAAACATCATTTTCATAGTGATTTGTTTTTCGATATTCTAGCCCAACTGAATATGAGATGAGTCTGTGACCACGCTTTTTTGCCGAATATATTTGTTATACATTTTGGGTGAGTACCTACTTCAGCGGGGTTCTTCAACTTCAAATTAAAAACACCCACCACCAGTTGATCTTCGCTCATAGTAATCAAAAATAAATAAACCATAACATTTGTCATAACCTAACTTTATTTGATTCCGCGACAGTTCTAGAATTACCACCGAGATGGCACTACGTACCGCTCGATATTTTCTGCTATAATAAAATAACCGTTTCCATAACTTTCCACTTTATTTTTCGAAATACCTATTAATGTGATTTGAACAGAATTATTCGCAATTTTCCATGTGAACTGTTTTTCAAAGAATTCTGTGTATTTGCCGCAATTTTTCATATCATATTGTACGAGGGAGGAACGGTAGGTATTAATTAGCTCTGGATGAGACTCGGTCAAGCATCGAGAGTATGTAGGTATGTCAATTCATCAAAATGACATCTAGAAATTCTTTTCAGAATCGAATTCGATTATATAATATCCACATCATATTTCGTGATGTGTAACAGCTTATATTATATGATTACGTATTATCATTATTATAATTATCAAGGAATTGCTCGATTGGGTATTACCTACTTCATCACATTTTTCAATGAAACTCAATTGAATAACTCAGATTCACTGATGATAAAACCTACCTACATTTTTATTTTGCATGAACGTATAGTGAAACAGTATCGATGAAAAATAAATTCCGACTTGTTGGGCTTCGAAATGTTCATATTTTTGTAATGTTCATGGGCGTCGCCAGAAAAAATCCAAAGGGGATGCTGAAATTGTACTTCCGGGACATCGATCTGTGTAATTCAAAAACAAACAAAAATTGCGCCGCGGGTAATTTTGTTTCATTATGGTCAGATGCCTATGAATAAATTTGCCGAAATAAAATCACCCAAAATTATCGATACTTTTTCATATAAGTACACAATAGACGATAAATTTGAAATATCTTGATTCTTCAGAATTCCATACTTGATGCTATTACTTAGACCCGTCGTTAATCTATGCTTATAGGTAAGAATGTGCGATATTGAAGACTTATTGATATTAATATACCCAGTGATAAAGTATAAATATATAAATAGTATACAGAGAAGTGCACTAAAAACTGCCACGATTGTAACTTTCGAATTATTCTAGATAGGGTTTTTAAAATTTGTGGGTAGCAAGTATACCGAATTGCTCAATAATTGATGAAACATTTTTTCTTATATCACTTCCGGTTTCACCGGAAACGACTCCAACTTTTGATTTTTAAATGGGACACCCTGTATTATATTCCGTAATCGGTTAGGGATTATCATGACGAATTCAACGATACCGGGTTTGATAGGGTTATTTCGAACGATTACAAAGATAATTGCGTTCGAAATTTCCATATGCTCAATGGGTGTGACTTCAAAATATCAGAACTTCTTTCTCTGTCAGACTCATTGAGCATATGGAAACTCAGAAGGCGAATATCAGCGTAATCTTTTGAAATAACCCTATCAAACCCGGTATCAATGAATTCGTTATGACAATCCCTAACCGATTATCGAACACAATACAGGGTGTCCCATTTGAAAATCAAAAGTTGGGATCGTTTCCAGTATAACCGGAAGTAATAGAACAAAAATTGTTTCATCAATGAATGAGCAATTTGGTATACTAGGTGCCCACCAATTTCCAAAACAATATCTCGAATAATTCAAAAGTTACAGTCCTGGCCGTTTTTTTGTGCACTTCTCTGTATAGGTAGTGTGTAGAATTGGTGAGAATTTCTCGATTTGAATTTTCATTCGTTTAATTCAGCCCTACTTGCTGCTGAAAGCAAGATATTGAACTTAATTTCAGTTATGAAAAATCTACTATGCCTTAGAAATTTTGAAAAACACCTATTCTTCTGTGAAGTATCTTATTTGCATGTGTGAGAAAACCGAGGAGAAATGTATTTTTCCATGGTATAGCAGGTGATATACAGGTTGTCCCACTAAAACATGTTGATCTGGTCGATACCGAATTTCGTAGGCGGGTGTTGAATTGTCGATAATTTTGGCATCCGGCCACTATAAATCCCCGGTATTCTTCAAAAAGCCTCATGGCGCACGTACGTATCATAAGTTCTTCCGCCTCGATTTGTTAGGAAAACAAAGTGGGCACTGGCCAACAAAACATCTCTAATCGAGCGTGTTGTTGCAAGCGATCGCAGTGGACAGTGGTCAATTTGATGGATTTGACGCAACTGCCCCTAACCAAACACGGAAACATCATCGACATCTGGCCTCTTCACGGATCGTAAACTGAAAGCGAAATGTCAATTGTTGTCCGTGCTAAATCAAGTGGGCCATTCAGAGATGACGTCTACATTATAATTTTATCGGCATTTGGGAGTTAATGCAGTCAGTGATCGCGTTATCTTTGCTTTATGAATATCATAATTTAGATTCAGAATCGAGGCCAGAGGGTCGCCGAAATTACCGAAAAAGTATTTTCTCTGGTTCTTGTATTGACTTGGCCGTTACTCGATGGAAATCCCTGTGGTAAATGTGAAAAACTTCACACAAACAATAAGATTTCCACAAAACTTTGATGTTTTATTTGATTTCATTAAGAAGTAAGAAGTTTATTCAAGATTGACAAGCCTGACTCACAATAGCCTATAACTGCTTATGTATACCTCTTTTATGCACACAACTGTACAATCAAGGTCATCAGAAAATGATGAATCAATTCATAGACCAGCTGATAGGTCTTTTCGAGTACATCTGATCAAACAAAATTTTAAACGTTCATACTCCTCCTTGATACATCTGAAGCAGGAGACACTCTATAACCATTAATCAATCCTTCACCTTGATTTTCGCTCAGAAAATATGCCTTTTGACTTACATACCTCAATAAGGAAGCAATAGGGGAAATTTGATTCAAAACCCTCAAAAAAACAAAATCAATGAATTATTTACCTTGATCTTTTCTCAGAAAATAGGTTAAGATGAGAGAAAATGAATGGCTTTATACCGATTGATTCACATAAATTACATAGGGAAGCGATAGGGTGAATGTGATTGAAAAAACCTTGAAAATTCAAAACCCTCGCCAAAACCAATCAATTCTTCAACTTGATTTTCTAATAGAAATCTGGTTGAGATGAGAGAAAAAGAATGGATTTAAATACATTGACTCATTTATTACCTCAGAAAAAGAGCGATAGGAGAGATATATAAAAGAAAACTCTAAAAATTAATGCCAATCAATTCTTCAACTTGATAGGTCGACATGAATACATTTATATGATACCAGTCTAACACATTTTTCCTGAATATAGAATTCTCATAATTCTTCTAACAAAGAAAATTTTATTTCCACATCTTTATTTTGTAAAGGTCGATGGATAGTATCTATATCTTGAACTTTCTGGATTAAAATTTTATGTAATCATTTTGATCTCGCCCTGTATATAACATATCCAAATCTTCCGAATTTGATGGTATAAATAATAATGAGGTACATAATGTCTATTCATTATTCCAAATTTTTTGGGATTTTCTCTCCTCGTTTCTATAAAATAAAAATATGAATATTATTTCAATATACGTGTAGTAAGGTCAAATCAGATGATTTGCCCCAAAATGTCACTGCGTTTAAAGAATTTTCCTATCAGAGAGCCTAAAAGAAAAATTCACTAGCTTGTCAGTGACAATTTGTATTGAAAAAATTTTTGGAGAAGGGAAATAAAGGTATATAGAAAAATATCAAATTTTCACTTATCTTTGGACGTTTCGGAACCGGTTCTGCTCCCGTTTTCAACATGAGAAGAGATTATTTCAATAGCGAAGTCGTATAATGTCTTGAAGCTTTTCAGTTTTCAATGACAATTGGTGACGTTGGCAATCAAATGAGTTACAGGATGTTTTCATTAATTGATCTTGAATTTACCATTTTCATGTTCAGATTTTAGTAGTGAATACCATGTTCTGTCTATATCAACTGAACAAGAAGCAATGCGATTGTCTCCGTTCAGAAGAATGCTTGCAAAGATAAGTGAAAATTTGATATTTTTCTATATACCTTTATTTCCCTTCTCCAAAAATTTTTTCAATACAAATTGTCACTGACAAGCTAGTGAATTTTTCTTTTAGGCTCTCTGATAGGAAAATTCTTTAAACGCAGTGACATTTTGGGGCATATCATCTGATTTGTCCTTACTACACGTATATTGAAATAATATTCATATTTTTATTTTATAGAAACGAGGAGAGAAAATCCCAAAAAATTTGGAATAATGAATGTACCACCTCCTCGATTAACCTACAGACAGTATTTTACATAATGTCTGTATCTAGGCTAATCCTTAATTTCGTATGATTTCAGAAAGTATAGGTAATTAGTGAATGTAATGGATACCCATTTTTCCAGATTTTCTCTCCTCGAATAACTTTGAGACAGTGTACGGGATATCATTTCAATAACGGCAGCGTGATTTTTTTTGTATATACCTATAATATATATAACCAAATGTTTGATTCCGGCACCCCAAATAGCTCTTCAGTGAATGTATTCCAAAGTAAACCTTATACGAAATTGATTAAAACTGAAGAGCATTTCATTTATTCGTTGGTCAACTGGTCAACTAGCCTCTTGGGGTTAGGCAATATAGATCCCCCATTTTTTCCAAGCGTATATTCGTTTCGGGAACTGACTTTACTGACTTCATTATGAGAGAATATGACCTTCTTAAATCGATGAAACAAAAAAATAATAACTTTGATACTTTTTGTAATGTTATCAAAACTCCAAATTCTGCAGGATTCGAAGTAAAATACCAAGAAGTTTGATGACTTGAAGACTGCTTCATTTTTCAAGATGGAAGATGGAAAAACATTTTATTTGTTAATGGTCATGCACATCCTCTCTTTTATACAAATATTCAAAATTTATTGAAACATCCCATAATTAAATATTATTGTCATATCTTTATATGAACGAAAACAAATGTAAGCATTATTACTTATTGATTTACAAAAATCATA